CAAATGCTGGCGGGAGGGGCGGAGAAGAGTGGGCCAGGCTGGGCCGGGCAAGATTTTTAATGGCACGCTGCTGCCTGTCGAGGTCCTGGCCGCCGGCCCCGCTCAGCCCACTGCTGGTGGCCAGGACCCCAGTAGGCAGCAGCATGCCATTAAAAATCAGCTCGTGTGCCGTCTTTGGCACGCATGCCATAGGTTGCCGACCAATGACCTATTCTGATCAAAACTAACAAAGGTGAACGGGTCTGGTCTCAAGCTACGAGTTTGTTAGTTCTTAGCTAATGCCTGCAGCCTAGGCAAGAGCTGGCATTTGGCCTGCCAGCATCACAAGTACCACCCCCTCTCCCAATAATATCTGAGCACATATTTGAATCAGGAAACTAATTATAGGCCCAGACATATTGAAACATTTTTCTTCCTTCTTTCTGCAATGTAACTTAAACTGTTTGTGTTTTTAAATCCCCTTCATAATCTTCTGCAGTAGATTTGAGGAATTATGGAGTAACTGTTATACCATTATTTAAAAAATAGGTCTTATTTTGTGCATCACGGCAATGATGTTCTCAGTTATCCTCATCTCGTTGGAGAGGGCGTTCCACGGTTATGATTTCTATGGATAGATACACCATGGTATGAAACTTCTCTTTAACTCTCCATAATGTCTTGTCCCCTCATCTCCATGCATACCGTCTGCTTCTTCTCCACAACAGACTGCTCCTCATGTTTCCCATGCATACTGTCCTCTCACGTATGCTCATGTTCACTGTCCATTCCTCATGAGCAAGCCCCATAGCCATGTCTGCATTCATGACATTCTTTCCAGACCACAATGTCTATAAAAGAGACGTCATATTTTAAAATGAACTAGCACGGCAATCTGGCCTCAGTAAAACTATTTCAGTAATTAATTTGTGACCTATGGTGTGGGGAGAAGGGTGGAGAATAAGAAAACACAGACCACCACATTTTACAAGGTCTCCTGGAATCTGAGGTTTTGCTGCCCTCACAAGCTATTTCTTGCATTTGCAGGGCTCACATCTCTAGGCTGAGTTGATGAATCTCATTTACTTGTTAATCTGAAGCATTTTTCCCCGTCAAATTTAATGTAAGGGTGATTCTAGCCAAAAATAAGCATACTTTTCCCCCATGCATTCCTTCCTACATATATTCTACCATATATAAGATACACTGGCTCCAGTGGATGCCATATATATTACATGTATAGGTTGACCAGATGTCCTGATTTTATAGGGACAATCATGATTTTGGGGTCTTTTTCTTATATAAACTCCTATTACCCTCCCCCCACTCCCTGTCCCGATTTTTCACATTTGCTGTCTGGTCACCCTACACATGTATCCGCTGGCCCAAATTCTGCTATCATTCACACCAGCACAAGCCTGTTTAAATCAAGTATGATAGCATATTTTGGATCACTTCTCTATTTTTTTCATGGTAAGTATTCTTTCTTCTCCACAGTCTCCTGGTTTCTTTATTCCCAGTCTCTCTTTAGCAAACATGATCCTACAAATCTTTAAGAAGTGGCTTCTTGTTCCACCAGTATATCTCTCCAGTGGCTTCAGAGGAGTTATGCTGGATTAACACAGGTGTAAATGAGATCAGAATCTGGCCCTGGGCTGGAGCCAGGGCCGGCTCCAGGCACCAGCTTGGCAAGCTGGTGCTTGGGGCGGCCACACCAGACAGGGGCGGCAGGTCCAGCTATTCGGCGGCAATTCGTCGGACGGTCCC